GGTATCAGAAGATCTCAGAGTGCTCACAATTAATTCACAGATAACCTTTAGTTTTCTTAAAGCGTGAAAGATAAATGTATTTAAGACACTCAGCAATCACTGTAACTAGTTAGGTAAAAAATACAAGGTTTATTTCCTTAACAAGAAAGTAGCAGAGGCTGGCAGACAGTCAAGGACATTGAGCTGGTGGCAGCAGGCTGGACCTGCATGAAGCAGCTCCTGGTAACCTGTGGGTGCTGAGGGCCTGGACCCCATCTCCTGCAGGTGCTGCTCCACTTGCCACTGTGACTTAAGCACAGCACCATCAAGCCCAGGACAAGGAAGGACTAGGGCATGGGGGAGGGTAAAAAGAAAGCCTCCCTATGTGAGAAGACAGGGTTCCACTGTGAGAACTCAATCCCTGGAGCTAATAACCCAGTCCTGGAATGCAACTGTTTCTTACTGTGTTTGTTCTTGAAAGTTTTATAGGATTGGAATAAGTACAGAATCTACTTAATCTGGTCTTTTTTTATTAGTACATGTTTGCAGTACATAATAATTATATTTATCGTGGGGAGTTAATTCATGTACACAACACGTTAATTCTCTCTTGTCCTGTGCCCCTCCTATTCCTCCTTGTTTCTTCCAACTTTTGATCTCTTTCCCATTTACAAAAGCTCTATTTCCTTTTTTTTGTTTGTTTGGTACCGTGGATTGAACTCGGGTCCTTGCACTTGCAAGGCAGGCCACCGAACCACTGAGCTAAATCCCCGGCTCTATTTCCTTTTTTTTTCCCCCTGCAATTCTCTTTTTACCATCCCCCCCATCTCTCACTCCCCTTCCCATTTGAGAAAGATCCCCTACTACCTATTATCCACCTTTTATTTTGCTCTTTAGTTAAAATTTGGGTTTTTTTAAATAAGAGAAACCATGCAATATTTAAACTTGTGGGTCTGATTTATTTAATTTAACATTATGATCTCCTCACATAACCAGCTTTTATTGCAAGTGATTTCTTCAAGTTATTTATCAAAATAGGAATTTACCATACATTTCTCTTAAGTCAAGGAACTATTTGCCATGGCAATGGAGTGAAGTAACTTGGGCCGTGAAATGTAGTCTTTACTTGGGTTTTATGTGTATAATTTATTTATGCTTTATACATGCACATTTATACACACCTGTTATTTTATAGTTTATCTATTATGGGATTACTCCGCCTTCACTGTGTATTCCCTTAGTCTGCTGTAGAGAAAGCTCATAAAGTAAAAGTATTCACTTTTACTCACCCCATGAGAAGTGAATCAGGAAAGCTAAGATGAAAAAAACAATAAATATGTTTTTACTTTTTACTTGTTCTTCAAGATGATGCTGTATCCTCAATTATGAGAAACAGAATCTGAAGGGACTAAGGGATTCAAGGAGTTGAAAAAGAATGAGATAATATGCTGAATAATTTTCTAGTTAGCCTATTCTATATGAATGTGATTCCTTGCTATATTTGAATTGTCAGGTTAATGAAAAAAAAAGACATCCTAAAGTTAACTAAGAATGATTGCTGTGTTGGAGCAATATCCATGGGTCATTTCAAGTATCAGAAGGAAGCTGCTATAAGTACGTAACTGGGGGCCTCAGGAAGTCCCCTTGAATGCTAAGCAGAAATGAGCTTTGTAGAAAAGAAGGGAAATTATGGCAGCCAACCTCAAGGGTTTTTTCCAACATTGATGAAAGGTCTGTCAAAAGACATGGTCACCTGCAAAGCCAACTTGAACAGGCTCCCTCCCAGAAGCCAAGAGTGGGATAAAATGAACCATGGGAAGAGCTACAATGGATTAAAACTCATCAAATATTCTTAAATCCATGTATTAGTTAATGCTTACTAAATTCAGATGTAGAAGAGTGCAAAACGTCTGTCTGCATTCTGGAGATCTAAAGGATCCAATGCAGGGCCTGGAGCCCACAGCAATATCCTGTGCAAGATCTATCAGGAGACTGACAGATCCATGATGGGAGGCCAAAAGATCTGTATCAAAAAGGTCCAAGGGCCAGTGCTGGAAGCTGAAGTGTCTGTACCAAAAGACTGAAGGATCTGTGCCAGAAGGCTTGAGGGATCTGCACTGGAAATTAGGAAATGATGTCCAAGATAAAGACAAGGATTAAAGCTCCCCCAAAGAAAAAAAAACAGCCAAAGCTCTTTCGAAGAAAGACCAACAAAAATCCTCCAAAGAAAAGCAGTTGCAACAAAGCTCCTCCAAGGAAGATCAGCTAAAATCCTTCCCTTCCAGTTCTCCGTTTTTTACCATTCTGACAACAATCCTCCTTAAAGGGGTTCTTCCAAGCCTAGAACCACACTGACTCAAATTCAACTGGATATTCCCCACTCAAGTTGACTAGTCAATTAACCACCACAATACACGAATGATGAATAGTTGTGGGGGCATTCACTCACTCTTGGAGGATTGCTTTCAAATCTACAGCTTTGAAAACCCGTAAGTATAGGAAAAACACTGATCCTTAGAGAAAAAATTATTAATGAAGGGACATATCTTCTACGAGAAGTATCTCAGCTGCCATACTAAATCAATGAAGAATGATAGATTCAGAATATCACCATTTTGTAACTTTTGAATTAATGAACCCAAGAAATGATAAGCAATACTGCTCATATCACAAGAAGACAGGTTTTTCACATCTCCTTATGGAATTCCATCACCTGTGAACTATTTTTCACGTGAACATGTGTGCACATATATAGAGAAGCAAAAACCAGAGTCTGATCAAACCTTTAGTAATTTATAGAAAACATGGTGAGAAAATAAGAAAGGTAAATGAGTCCATAGGAACTCACAGTATGAGTCCATACTATCAGTAAACCCAATCATTAAGAAACCCTTCAGGGGCCAGGGATTTAGTTCAGTGGGGTGCTGCACTTGACTTGCAAGTACAAGGTTTAGAATTTGATCCTTGATACCAAAAAAAAAAAAAAAAAAAAAAAAAAAAAAAAAAAAAACTTCAGGACAAAGGACTCCATTTCTGTAATAATTTCATGGAAAAATAAAGGATTAAAAGAGACTTTAGTGATACATGAATGCAATTGCAATGTATAGAACCTGCTTAAAATCTGAACCAAGCAACCAAACCCTAAAGGAGTATTTTAATAAGAAAATCTGGAAATTTTGAACACTGATTGGGTATGTGGTGATATTAGGGATTCACTTATTTACGTAGTAACAGTATTTTTCTACTTTTCACACAGTGTGTTTTTTAGAGATATATTTAGAAAAAATATATATGAAATAGGATAATAGGATGTCCTGGGCTTATTTAAAAATAATATGGAAAATTAAGCCCTAGATGTGAAAAGTGAAACAAGACTGACCACAAATTATCAATTACTTGAAGACAGATGAAAACTATACGTGCGTGCATGTGTTTGGGGTAGCCATCTCCCTAGACAAGTTACCACAATGAAGCAGTGGCTCTAAATAACAAGACTATACCTTTTCGGGCCACACCTAAAAGTTTATATATACCTACAATGTCATCTCAGAGTACATAAAGCAGGAGCAGGTCACCTAGTAAGCCAAAAGGGATAACACAGGAGATCCATTTTTATTTCACCAGATCTGCATTTAATTTTCATAATAAAGGCACAATAGTGACATAAAAAGTTTTTTTTTATTTGCAGATGTAGAAAGTTCATAAAAGACATCTGAAAAAAACACAGTGAAAGACCACTTTCTCCCATGGATAAGTCAGGCATGTGCACTCCTCTTCAACACAGTGATGGAAGCTTTAGTCCGCGCTATAAGGGGAGAAAGAATGATGCTTGGGGCTTGGGCAGAGGTCTTCCTTTCTGCAGAAGGAACTCAAGTCCATATGGACTCTTTGGATCCAAAAGTGAACATGCTGAGCAAGACAATCACATTTTTATGACTATTGGAAAGACATCCAACCCACCATCCTTTCTGGTGGGGTAGGAACATACAAAGTCAACTGGCAGGAATGGGCCAGGTTCTTGGTAGGGGTGGAATTGAGGTAGGAGTGGGTTGAAGGATGTCCTGTTGCATTGCTCCTCAGGTGTCTCGAGGTTATGTAGGAATGGCCGAGTTATGTGCTTGAAGGGCCATTGGACGGGTCAGGATTTGGTGCTAATGTGGATGTCCAAAGCATTCAAGACAGAGACAACGTGGCTGTGCGTTGGCCAGTCAGAAGACACTGTTACAACGGCCCCGAATAGTGTCATCACACCTCAGCCGTCGTGGGTGACTGGGGAATTCCAATAAAATTGAGGGACATAGTAATGAGTAGTTTACTGGAACGACGTGGGGGGTATTTATCAGTCACTGTGGAAGTCAAGGAAAGACAACTATTTGAAACCTTTCCCACCAATGAGAGTCCAGGGCCGCGCCTATCTTTTCAGGGCCCACTCACACACCACCACCCCACCACCCTGCTCCGTGCGGACTTTTCCCTGAGGTCTTCTGAACTGTCGCCCTCGGAGCAGGAGCTTCCTGGGCACTGTGTGACGGGGGCGTCCTCACCCGCGGGTCCCGAGCCCTCGCACCACCTCGAGCCAGGGCTGCATGGACACCAGTCTGCCTCGGTGTGGACTTGCAGCCTCCGGCGTGGCCACCAGGCGGGCGAAGTAGCTTTGCGCTGGGCACGGGGCCCCAGTAAGAGCTGCTCCTGGCCTCAAAGGCACGGTGTCCCCACCGCCGGGAGCCTACGTGACCACGACAGAAATGGAAATTCAAGAGTGGGAGCCCCTGAAAGGTGCTGGCTTTGGAGGACCCCGACCGCGAACGGGGAGCTCAAGAGAAGTCGGCAACACGTTGGGAACCCGCCCCGCACATGCTCCTTCACCCGACCAGCTGCAGAAACAGACCTTAGGTCCTCCCCAGAATCGCCCAATCCGAGCAGAACCGCCTCCCAGATTCACCGCGGAAGCGGAAGCACCGCCGGATGTAACCATGGCGACGGCGGGGGCGGGCACCGGAGAGAACGACCTTTGACCCGCAGGCAAGGCTACGTCTGCGGACGGAAGCGCAGCGGAGGAGGTGGCTGTGTGTCTGGGGCTGCGCTGCAGGGATGGAGGTAACAGGGGATTCAGCGAGGGGACCGGAGGACCAGGCCAGGGGTTCTGAGGGGACAGAAGGACGGGGGAAGAGGATGGCGGCACCGAGGGGCGACGCAGCCACTCCGAGTCCTGCCACCTCGACGTCTGTCTTCTCCGTCCCTTCCTTCCCCGCCTTGTGCCCCTACTAACCTGCGGATCTTGACCAGACGTCCAGGTGGGAACGGAGCCAGCTGACATCCGACTTGGCTTGTTTTACAGGATACTGCCCACGACGGGGTGGCCGCCCCTCCCGCCCCCAGCGCAGCGAAATCCAAGGTGGGAGAAGGCGCGAGGGCGGGGGGGGCGGCTAAACTGGCTCGGGACACGCGGCCTATTTACAAAACACTCCTTTCTCCCAGGGACCCCAGCTTTGCTCTACAGTCACCCATCCATTTCCTGATGTTCTTTCGTTTCTTTTTTTAAAGTTTCCTGGTAGCGACACACTTTCTGTTTACTTTCTGCTCCTGGTTAGCACTGCAGGTTTTCAGACGTCGAGCAGATCCTGCCATATCTTGAAATTTAAGTAAAGCAGTATATTTTATGAAGGTTTAAATAGCGGTGAGATGGAAAAAGCCGGGACTGTAATATTTTGGTCTCAATTCCCACAAAAGGAGAGTTGAACCAGGTCATTTTTATGGCTCTGCACAGTGTTTAAACGATTTCAAATGATGGTGGCTTATTGCTGAGTTTATTGTTCAAGGATTCAAGATAATACTGGCTTATTGCTAAGTTTTATTTGCATACTGAGTTTCAGGCACTTGCCCAGACTTACTCAGTTCTTTCACCTAAGGTTCTTGGTAACCATGAGGTAGGCCCTGCTGCTATTCTTGTTTTACAGATGAGAAAACTTGAGCCCACACAAGTAAGGTAATTTTCAAAAGTGGTAAACCCCAAATATTTATAGCCTAAATGTTACCTGATTCATCTTGTTGCTGTAATTATGCTTAAGTTTTTTACATAGCCAGAGACAACTTTCAGTTTGGAATCAAATGAATTTTATAACTTTTAAGTACTACTAGTCCAAACCCCTAATTGTACAGTTAATTCATAACCTAGGAAATGTCAGCCTCCTACAGCAGTATCCTTTAAAGACTTTGGGCTGTTTTTTTGCCCACTAATAATTATTGAGTTGAAGTTGCACTTGCTAATTTTTTGAAATTCAGAATGAAGGTGTGGCATTTGGTTGGCATAAAGTTTTGATCAACATAATGTCTTGATTTTTAGACAGACATTGTTTCTTTTTTGTGACATTCTACAAGCATGAATTATAACACATTGGTAACATCTTTCAGCTGGAAACCCTGCCCAAGGAAGATCTCATCAAGTTTGCCAAGAAGCAGATGATGCTGTTACAGAAAACAAAATCAAGGTGTACAGGTACTGGGTTGAAACTACTCATCTTGGCTAAACATGATAAATTTTTAAGTAGTGCATTGGTCTGTTTTTGTCTTCTTGTGATTTCAAGTGCATCTTAGTCACCATACTGGGGGAACTAACATTCTAACCATTTACCTCTGATTATTATTTCTCTTGTCTAAACTGTAGCTACTTTTAAGTTGTTAAAGTTAAGGAAGAGGAATGTTTTAAAATTGTGTAAAGTTAAAGCATGTTTTCCTTCATATGCATTGTAGATTCTTCGCGGTTCAGGACATTTTCTAGGGGATCAGTTGACATGAGACCCAAAGCTGTAACAATCCTCAAGTAAAATAACAATTTATTACCATTGCAGTACAAACTTGATTCTCTATTCAGCTTCCTTATCATTCCAAAAAGAAAAAGATATTAGTGTCTTATTAATATAAATGGATAAGCTTTTCAATTTCCAATGGCCTAAAAATATTAACTGCCCTGCCTAAAATCTAAGACTTTCTGCCAGAGAAAAAGATCAGACTGTGTTTTGGAAGTTCACTGAGCTTGTATTTGAGAGAGTAATTTGGAAAGATGTTCTAGGTGCCAGAGCTAGGAGTAGGTTGATGAAATATTTAGATTAACATTAATATGAGGCTAGTTACTGTTTTAAGATTATATGGTCAGAAGTATTTACAACTGAAAATAATAGTCTAGGATTCAATTCAAAATTATCAGGGTGACTGGACACAGTAACACACGTCTGTAGTCCCTGTGGCTTCAGGGGGCTAAGGTAGAATGATCACTTGAGCCAAGGAGTTTAAGACCAGCCCAAGCAGCTGGGTGTGGTGGCACACACTTATAATCCTAGTGCTTGGGAGGCTGAGGCAGGAGGATCACTGTGAGTTCGAGACCAGCCTGAGCTACATAGTGAGGTCCAGGTCAGTCTCAAGTACATAGTGAGACCCTGTCTCAAAAATCCAAAAAAAAAAAAAAAGCAGGCCCAGGGATTTAGCTCAGTGATGCCACCTGCCTCACAGGCACAAGGTCCTGAGTTCAATCCCAGGGACCAAAAAAAAAAAAAAAGCAGGCCCAGGGATTTAGCTCAGTGATGCCACCTGCCTCACAGGCACAAGGTCCTGAGTTCAATCCCAGGGACCAAAAAAAAAAAAAAAGCAGGCCCAGGGATTTAGCTCAGTGATGCCACCTGCCTCACAGGCACAAGGTCCTGAGTTCAATCCCAGGGACCAAAAAAAAAAAAAAAGCAGGCCCAGGGATTTAGCTCAGTGATGCCACCTGCCTCACAGGCACAAGGTCCTGAGTTCAATCCCAGGGACCAAAAAAAAAAAAAAAAGAAAATTTAGAAAGGTGATTAAGAAAAAAGGGCAGGGGATTTAGCTCAGTGGTTCTGCCGCCTACCTTGAAAGCACAAGGGACAAGTTCAATCCCTGGCATCAAAAAAAGAAAAGAGAGAAGAGGGATAGTAGAAAGTACAGCTTTTGAATGAAGCCAAATTGGCCAAGTGATAATTGCTGAAGCAAAGTGATGGGCACATAGAGATTCATCAATAATCACTATTTTGTCTACTTTTTTGTTTGCTTGAAGTGTTCCTTAATAAAAAGGAAAATGTAATAATCTTTGGGTGAAATTAGTATTTTTCAAAATACCTCCTGCTTAAATGCATTCTAATTTATAGGTTTTGGGGTTTCTTTAGAATATATTTATCAGTTTAGCTAGTAATTATTTTCTTTGTTTCTGAACTGGAATCTTTTCTTATTTAGAATTGGAAAAAGAAATTGATGAATTCAAATCAAAACCTATTGATGGAAGAACTGATGATATTATTAAGGTAATGAAATGGCTGTGAATTTTGCTTATTTATTTACTTAGAGGAAATGTCTGATGATGAGTAGGATTTCCGTGAGGGCTGTCAGCCTACTGGAGATTACCTGGCTTTCTGTCTGCTTTACTACTTCCTTTCTGGCCTTGGTTAGGATTTGTACCTCTGTTTCACTATAAATGACCTCCAGATCTCTATCTGCAGGGTGTGTTGTCTCCTCTTCTGCCCACATGCTCCCTAATTGTGGTTATTGCTCAGTCTTTGTCCTGTTCTATCCTGTCACCTTCAGAAAACTTGCCACCCTAGAGACTTTGGTGTTCTGCAGTACTTGGTACATTCAGATAAACATATAGGTCCATGTCCCTGGTCCTATAGATCCATGTTCCTGGTCATAACTATGGACCCTGAGTTTATAGTTACATCTCTAGCTGCCTGGGGAAAGTCCTCAGCCTCACATGACCAGGTGTCCCCTCTGGCTGGCCAGCAGCACCACTGGTTTTTGTTCCTTGGGACTTTAGAGATGCTTTTACTCCCCTTTGCTGTATCCTCCACATGTATCAGTCACAAGTGTCCTGGAGACCTGTTGTTGCTCTAGGACATCACTCCAATATCCACCCGCTCATATGCATGGCTCACCTGCTTTCTGAAACCTTCTGTCTCCCTGCACAAGCTGGGAAGATAGTCCTCTTGAGCCATTGTGCCATCATCCTGGAAGTAGACTTTGGTAGCAACCTTGGACACTTGTGCACTTCTTCCTGGCTGGGTCCCTTGTCACTGCCTGGGTTGACCATCTCACTTGGGTAGTGTATATTTTTCTTCAGTTTTCCTAGGAATGAATGAGGTCAATTTTCATGTTGTTCAAGCTGTTGGGGTTTTTTTGTGTTGTTGTTTTGTTTTGTTTTTTGATACTCGGGATCAAACTCGAGACTTTGTGCTTGCATGGCAGGCAGCGGCACTACTGAGCTAAATCTAGGGCCTGTTGTCTATGATTTTAAAATGCCTTTACTCTGTTCCATTTATAGCTGTAATTTGGTATAGAAGTCTAAAGTTTTCTACACATACATTATTTTCACTTTCTTAAGCAGTAGTGTTGTATTAGTAGAACTTCACATATGAAGATCAAAGGCAGGCAGCCTTCAGGTGGATCCCATCTCCCATTGGTGTCTGCAGGGCACAACCTCTTCTCTTGGCTTCTGCATCCTCATCCCATTGACCTAGGAAATCTGTGTGTGAGCCCCGGGCTTTCCTGGCATCTACAGGAAGCAGCAGCTGGCTGTTGAGGCCCAGGGAGGTGGCCAGAAAGTGTGCCCTAGAGATGCCTGGGATGCTCATCTAGAGTATGTTTTCCTTCCAGTTTTCCACTTTGTCTAAAAAAATGTCAGTGGCAATATTTTTCCACCATTACATTCAAACTTTATCTTTTCTTTTGATACTGGGGATGGAAATTGGGTCCTTGCATTTTCGAGGAAGGCAGCAGAGCCACTGAGGTAAATCCCCGGCCCTCAAATTTTTATGTTGGAGTTTAAATGTTTAATTTCACAGAGCTCTTTTTTTTTTTTTTAAGAGTAGGTAAATTTATTGAGAAAAAGAAAGCTGCTGTCTAAGACAGAAGGGGGACTGGAAAGTGGTTTGTCCCTAGAGCTTATTCTTGACATCCAAATATTGTTTTTCCATGCATCTTATTTAATATTCTACATATTTTATTTTTATGAGGAAATAAATTCATATTGTCTTAAAAGCTTACTTCTGAATCTTTTGCATTGTCTGTTTCCGGGGGGTGGGGGGGCGCGTTTGAGATAGTGTCTATGTAGTTGAGACTGACCTGGAACTCACTATGTAGCCCAGGCTGGTCTCCAGCTCACAGTGATCCTCCTGCCTCAGCCTTCCAAGTGCTGGGATTACAGGCATGTGCCACCACCCCGGCTTTGTTCAGTTACTTTTAGTGTAATCGTCTGTGAAAATAAGCAGATAGGAATTTGAAAATAATCTGCATTTTCTTATATCACCCCTGCCCATTCTCCTACCTTACTAGTTTCCACACCCAAAGTAGCCATCATCCTGAATCCCATGTCCATTTTACTTCCCTTGTATAAAGTTTGAGCACATCTATAATATCACTAAAAGATAAAGTTTTGTCAGGAATGATAGCACACATCTGTACTCTCAGCACTCTCGAGGCTGAGGAGGAGGATTGCCATAAGTTCAAGATCATCCTGAACTATGTAGCAAGACCCTACTTCTAAAAAACCAAAATAAGAAAGAGGAAAAGGAAAAAAATCTGAGCTTCATTTTAAATAAATAAAACTATTAGTTTTTAAGGCCAGGGATTTAGCTCAGTGGTGCTGCGCCTTTCTTAAGATCCTGAGTTCAATCCCCGTTACCGGAAAAAAATATATGGTCCATTTTAGCTTTTAACTTCATTAAAAAGGTGCCATGTTGATTGGAAGAAGGCTTTTCCTCTGTGTCATCACACATCACCATGAATGCTATAGAAGTGTCAATGTATTTACCATAACAGTTTCATTGGAGACTGCTGATGGACACTGGGGTTGTGCCCATGCTCATGCAGTGAAGTACAATGCTGTGAATTTATCAGATACATCTCCACTATAAAGATGCAAAGGATTCTCAGAAGAAAGTGGCATTGCAGTGCAAAAGGTTACATAAAGACTCTACTTTATGAGATAGTGACAGATTATATATAGTTATTCCTAGACTCTTGATATCCTTTGATGCCATTATAAATGATGTCTTTTTAAATTTTTTCCCATTGTTTGGTAGCAGTATACAAAATGGAACAAATTTTGTATATTAATCTTATATCTAGAGACTGTGAAACTCAATTTCTAATTACCTGTAGATGCTTCTAGATTTTTTGTATAATCATATCATTGATAAATTTCTTTTTTAATCCTTATTTATCATGTCTTTCATAAGCTTTATTTTTATTTCACTGGTTAGGATATTTGATACACTTTCTTTTTTTTTTTGAGTCAATGTTTTGCTATATTGCACATGCAGTCCTACCCCAGGCCCCTGAGTTGGTACATTCTTTTTTTTTTTTTTTTTTTTGTACTGGGGATCGAACTCAGGTCCTTGCACTTGAAAGACAGGCAGCAGCACCACTGAGCTAAATCCCCGGCACCGGTAATTCTTAATTAGACATGGTAATGGGGAACTAATTTACAGTTTTATAGATTTGTAGTAAAATGATCTTTTATTTTTCCTCTCTGTAAAGTGAATGTTGGTATCTGATTTTGTTTTTTATTTTGTCTGCACAAGTTCACATGAAATTGGGATAATCTTATTTATTCCCTGAAAATTTAATAGAACCTACCTGTAAAACCATTTTTCCTTATTTTTTTGGCAATGTATAACTGCACATTTGATTACAGTATTAGTCTTCTTAATCTTTTTTCTTGAGTCAGGAAAACTACATTTTTCTAGGAAAGTATATCCATCTTACTTGAGCTTTCAGTATTTTTTATAAATATTTGTTCCTAATAGTCTTTTTTTTTTTTTTTTTTTTTTTTTTTTTTTTTTTTTTACTTCACTTTCTAGCTACAGGACTGTTTGTGGTTAGCCTTGCTAAACGCTGTTTGTCCTGTTAGATATTTTTTCAAAGAACTGACTTTTGTCTCATGGATCTGTTTTCCATTTCATTACCTTCTTCTCCTACTCAGTTCCTACAGAGAATACCTGTCTCTGGGGAGGAGAGACAGAATAACTGTTGCTTGTTCTTCTGGCTACTCCTTGTTCAGATTGACAACCAGTCCCCATTTCTGGACCCCACACATTAACCCTTCCTTGACGATACCTGCTACCTTTAATTCCTTTTCTTTCCCTTCTTTCTTTCTTTCAGTGCTGGTGTCTAACTGAGGGCCCCATGCATGCTAGACAAACACTGTTACCTCTGAGCTATATTCCCAGCTCCTGACATCTCCCGTTCCTCAGTGTTTTATTTCTGGAGAGTCTTTGCCTGCTTCTCTGGATTCCCACCTGAAGAGCCCTTACATTATAGCTTTCTTTTTTTGTTCTGATTCAGTTCATCCTTCACATTCAGTTTTCCAAAAAATATATTGAAATTTCTCATATCCTCAAATCTTTTCTCCTGTTCTTTTTGTTCTAAGTTTATATCTTCTTGAATTATTCTGACTTTAACAGGGTTAGGAAATGGTGAGATAATTATGTGTGTGGTTGAGCCACAGTTTTTTTTAACCTTATGCAAACAAATCTTCCTGTTCTAAAACAGGCATTGACTGAGCGCCTAGATGGTATTCTTCTGGAGAAAGCAGAGACTGAGCAGCAGTGTCTTTCTCTGAAAAAGGAAAATGTTAAAATGAAACAGGAAGTTGAAGTAAGGCAATGTTTAATATTTTCTTTTTTATTAATTCATAACAGTGTATTCATGGATTTGACTGAAGACCCTAAAAAGCATCTAATGCTGTTTCACTATATTATGAAAAAAAGATAAGGATTTAAAAAAGAAAAAGTAACTGAAATTATTCACTTACATAAAGATAGAGCCAGCATTTATTATATTGTTTGATCTTCCTTAAAGCTACAGTGTCATTCCTTAATAAAAATGAAAGAAGTTAGTTGATTTTCATATAATGTTAAATATTATTATCTATCTATTCAGTTCTAGGATATTCAGTAGCATATTTCCACTTATTTGCCTGTTTGGTCTGGGCTAATTTCTCCAAAAAGCCTCCTCTTAAAGCTCTCTGTTCAAGAACTAGTAGTTGAAGCTTTATGACTTCTGTAACTTTTATAATGTATCATCTTTTAAAAGAAAATAAAATTCAGAGGTTTTCTAGTTATCATTTATTACTGTAAAGGCTTGAGTATTGCTGGTTTACATTGCTCTCAAGTTGGGCAGAGCCTGCACAAACTGCTTGGACTCAGCATCATTTCTCTAGGTACACTTTGTTCATTTCCTCTTCTCTCCAGTTAGCCTGTGACTGATGTCTTTCCTGAGGTGCAAGGGTTTCTTTTGTCTTACTTGAATGATTTGTGCTTATTTTTTAAATAGGATTCTGTAACTAAAATGGAAGATGTGCACAAGGAGTTTGAACAGTCACACAGAAACTATGTGAAAGAAATTGAAAGTTTGAAAAATGAATTGATGACAGTACATTCCAAACACAGTGAATATAAGGCTGGCTTACAAAAGGAGCTAGAAGAAGCAGTAAATAAACAGGCAGAGCTTTCAGAACAACTTAAATTTCAGAGTAGCTCTGAAGACAATGTTAAAAAACTGCAAGAAGAGATTCAAGAAATGAGGTCAGCCTTTGAGGAACAAGTTTTATATCTGCAAAAGCAGTTAGAAGTCACTACTGATGAAAAGAAGCAAGCGGTTACTCACCTCCAAGAAGTCATGGAAGCAAATTCTCAGCATTACCAAAAAGATATTAATCATTTGCAAGAAGAACTTTTGCAGTTGAAAGCTGCACACCAACAAGAAGTGAAAGAACTGACACACCAGTTTGAATCATCAGCTAAAGAACATGAAGCAGAAATAAATAAGTTAAACCAGCTGAAAGAGTACTTAGCAAAACAGTATGAGGCCAGTGAGAAGACCATTCGTGAGAAATACGAATGTGAATTGGAAAACCTAAGGAAAGCCACCTTGGATGCAAACACAGACCATCAGGTGGGTCCTGCCCTCCTACAGGAAGATACTTTTGTAGAACAGGTAGTAAATGAAAAAACCAAATACTTAGAGGATTCCTTAAAAGAACTGGAATCTCAACATAGTATCTTAAAAGATGAGGTAACTTATATGAATAATCTTAAATTAAAACTTGAAATGGATGCCCAACATATAAAGGATGAGTTTTTTCACGAACGAGAAGACTTAGAATTTAAAATTAATGAACTATTATTAGCTAAAGAAGAACAGGGCTGTGTAATAGAAAAATTAAAGTATGAGCTAGAAGATTTAAATAAACAGTTTTGTTGTGCTATAGAACAGCATAACAAAGAAGTACAAAATCTCAAGGAACAACATCAAAAAGAAATATCAGAACTAAATGAGACATTATTGTCAGGTTCAGAAAAAGAAAAATTAACATTAATGTTTGAAATACAGGGTCTTAAGGAACATTGTGAAAACCTGCAACAAGAAAAGCAAGAAGCAATATTAAATTATGAGAGTTTGCGAGAGATTATGGAAATTTTACAGACAGAACTGGGAGAATCTGCTGGAAAAATAAGTCAAGAGTTTGAATCAATGAAGCAACAGCAAGCATCTGATGTTCATGAACTTCAGCAGAGGCTTAGGACTGCATTTAATGAAAAAGATGCTCTTCTTGAAACTGTGAATCGTCTCCAGGGAGAAAATGAAAAGTTATTACCTCAACAAGAGTTAGTGTCACAACTTGAAAATACCATAAAGAGCCTTCAAGAGAAGAATGAAGTGTACTTAACTAGTCTCAGTCAAAGAGACTTGATGATACAAGAAATAGAAGCCAATGTAAATTCTTTAAAGGAGGAAAAAGATGATTTCATAAGTAAAATTAAAAATTCTCATGAAGAGATCGACAATCTACATAAAAAGTGTGAAAGGGAAGAAAGCTTGGCTCAAGAACTTAGGGAGAAATGGGAGCAAACCAACCAGTCCAAGAGTGCACTAGAACGACAAGTAAATGAATTGACAGGAAGACTAGATGAGACTTTAAAAGAAAAGGATGAAAATGACCAAAAACTAGAAAAACTTATGGTTCACATGCAAACTGTCTCTAAAGACCAGGAAGCATTGTCGTTAGAACTGAAGTCTCTATATGAGGAAAATAGTAGATTGTGTTCTGAAAAGGACCAGTTGAGTAGGGATTTGGAAGCTCTTCTGTCTCAAAAGGAAGATTTTACCCTAAAAGAACATACTACTGAATTAGAAAAGAAACTTCAGTTAACAGTTGAAGAGCGAGATGACTTAAATAAACTGTTTGAAAATGAGCAAGTTCAGAAGTCCTTTGTCAGAACTCAGCTGTATGGTATTCTTAAACAAATGGGGTCGAGTGTTTCAGAAGAAAATGAAGAAGATGTTAGACTTGTCCTACAAGCTGTAGGTGAATCTTTAGCAAAAGTAAATGAAGAAAATCACAACTTGGTTTTGCAGTATGTTGAAAGGGTGTTAGAATTAGAAAAAGAAACTAAGTGCCTTCAAGAAAAGGCCACTCATTGTGAAGAACTTAGGTCTTTACTGAGGGATTATGAGCAAGAGAAAGTTCTCTTAAGGCAAGAGTTAGAAGGGACATTGTCAGAAAAAGAGGCCCTGCAGTTTGATCTTTTAGAAATGAAGAATGCTAATGAGAAAATAAAGCTTGAAAATCACAATCTTTTAATTCAAGTTGAGGAAGTATCTCATATATTGCACAGCAAAACTGAAGTCCATGCTGAAAAATCTATACCAGAACATGAAGACCTAAGGCCATTACTGGAACAAAAAGAATCTGAATTGCAAGATGTAAGGGCAGAGTTGATGTCATTAAAGGTACTATAACTTTTAATTTTATTGATTCAAATAAATTCACTGTTCTGGTCTAGAAAAAGTATATATTAACATTTTTATACTTTGAAATAGAAGTAAATTTAGCATTTAAACTCGTGGCAAATATTTGAAAAATGTGTTAAATATTTTCACATTGTATATCCTATTTACTACATTGGTCATTTGGGAGATGTAAATCATTTTAAAATCTTGAACTTAAATTATTAGGGGTTTAAATATATTGGTCGAGTTAGGCCAGGGATTTAGTTCAGTGGTTCTGCCGCCTGCCTTGTAAGCACAAGGACCCGAGTTTGATTCCTGGTACCAAAAAACAACAACAAAAAAATGATAAAAGCAAAGAAGTGAGCTCTAGTGATATTTTGCCTTGGCTACAATCTTAGAGTTTTCTTTAAAAAGCTTTTCATCTGGCCCTTGGGTACTACTTTTTTATAGCATGTGCCATATACTTAAGGTTGGCATTGCTCAGTCTGTCAAGAAAAAAAAAAGTGAATTGCTTTTTGTGTTATTTCCCTATGGTTATGATTTTTCTCATGCTTCAAATGATAGCCAGTTCATCAGGGGATACAATGAATTGGTTTTTGTTTTTATTTCTCCTATAAAATGTAGGATTCCCTAGAGAAATCACCTCCTGTAAAATATGATCAACTTTCTTCAGTCAAAGAACTGGAAGAAAAAATAGGTAACTATGATTATTACATATGTCATCACCACTAATTAGACAAAAGCTGTTAGTGTTGCAATAGATTGGGCAATACAGCAGCCAGGTAACACATGGTTAAAACACAGGAAGTCACTGTATCTTCCTCAACCCCATTGCCCTCTACCCTGTACATCCCTTTCAGTACCCTTCTGTTGTTTCATGTTAACAGCACACCGGTGCTATTCCATTCATAAATAGTTCTGTGATGATTTTGTACTTCATGCATTAAACAGGTGTGATTCGAGAGCCCAGCTGTCTTAGACACTGGGTAGAGGCGGTGAGACACTCGCAGCTGAGAGGAGCCAGAAGGATGGGGCTTTTGGGTTTTTTGGGGTTTTTTTGTTTTGTTTTGGTTGAGATGATCTTACTATGTAGCTGAGTCGGGCTTTGAACTCATGGTCATCCTTGTTTCAATCTCCCAAGTGCTGCCATTATAGGCACACACCATCACACCTGGCTTGCCTATTTTGAGTTAGGAAGAATACCACAGAATAGAGTCTTCGGTTGGGACTTGAACAATGAGAAATGTGACACATGAAAGTATTATGGCAGGAAGAACATCAGGTTTGTGTGCACATTTCCAGCATCAGCGGGTTGTGAAGTCCTGGGGAGTTGCAGCCTGTTATGAATGTACTGGGTGCCATGCACAGGGCCCGAGACCTGACCCCTTCCACTTGCTGCCCATAGTAACATGGGGTGGCTCTTTTCTTCCCATTTAAAATGGAGAGATGAAGACTTAGAAGTATTGTGCCCAAGGAATCTCAAGTTAATACCCAATTTAATTGGGATAAAAGAAGCTAAAAGACTGTAATTAGACTCCCAGTTTTCTGGAATGGATGATGGGGGAGGGTGGGATGTTTTCGATAAATTAATTTAAACACCATTTCATGAGGTATCCAGTAGGATGCTGTGTAAATGTGGAGTTAGAGGGAGAAGCAGTGATAAAAGACATTCATTATCTAGTGGGCTTCAAAAGCCATGAAAAATCTGGGAATGGTGCAAGCCTGTCATCCCAGCACTTCTGAGGCTGAGGCAGGAGGATCACTGCAAGTTCAAGGCCAATCTGGGCTACATAGTGAATTCAAGGCCAGCTGAACTACACAACAAGACCCTATTTCAAAACACAGAGCATTGAGATTGATCTAATCAGTGTAGAAGCAAAGTGAGTACTGGAGACAGTTCTTCATCTTCAAGTGATGGAGACAAGGAGATGGGGAAGGAGCAGCCAGTGTGGTAGAGAGACCTGGTGTATACTGTATCCTGAAAGTTAGGACAGGAGAGGTAGTGGTGGGTAGCCCTGGTTAGCATTATAGGGGACAATTTGTCTAGGTACCTAGAGCCAGCACTCGCTTTCAGTGAGTTCTTTGAAAACATGGGGAAGACAAAGCAAGTAACGTGACCCTGAAGCAATTTGCTCTGGAAGAAGAGAGGCAATATGTTGTTTGGAAAATTAAACCTATGATCCCAGTCCTTGGGAGGCTGAGGCAAGAGGATCACCATGAACTCAAGATCAGCCTGGATTACATAATGGGGAAAAAATACCTGGCTCAAAAAAGACAAAAAAAGGACTGGAGGTTTAGCTCAGTGGTTCCGCTGTGCCTCACAAGTGCAAGGTCCCAAGTCCAATCCCTGGTACTAAAAAAAAAAAAAAAAACAGGAAAATTAAGAGTGCTTGAGATGTGATGTCTCTTCTGCTCTCTTTAGTTGCTTCCCTTGTTTGTTCATGACCTTAATTTTTTGCCTATAGTTGTCTTGATTCTTTTTCAACTGTTGGGGGAAAAGTCTACAATAGAGGGGGAAGTGCCACACTGGTGCCAGAGCAGTGGGGTAGGCACTGGATGAAAGATGGGCTGGATCCAAGGGCCCCACATGCACACAGTCAGGCAAGCAGAGAAGTGCAGGCCCAAGCTAGGGAAAGTCCTGCACACTGGCCCTCAAGTAGAAGAAGGGGTCAAGGAGATGCAGATTGGGTGGGTCAAACATATTAGAGGTGTAGTTATAAAATTTAAATTCCACTAACCAAGAGGAGGAATGTGCATAAATATTTAGCTACATCTGACACATTCTCTCCTTGGCTTACAAACCACCATTTAATAGCCTAACATACCCATGTTTCTTAGAACAATGGTAGTGGAGTTCTAAGAACCTCTCCAACTCCTAGATACTTGTGAAAAGGCTTTTAAAGTGGCTGTTTTAAGCTGGGCATGGTGGTATATGGTACTGTCATCCCAGTACTTGGAAGGCTGACGCACAACAATGGCCACTAGGTTTCAAGACTAGCCTGAGGTAAACTGAAAAAAGAAAAAAAAAAAAAAAAGACTAGCCTGGAAGCCAGGCATGGTGGTGCATGCCTGTAATCCCAGCACTCAGAAAGCTGAGGTAGAAGGATCGTTGCAAATATGAGGCCAGTCTGGACTCCATAGTGAGTTCAAGGCCAGCCTGAACTACATAGTGAGATCCTGTCTCAAAAAAATAAAGTGGGCCTGTTTTAAAGAATTAAGAAAATGAGGCCAGGGATTTAGCTCAGTGGTTCCGCTCCCTGCCTCGCAAGTGCAAGGTCCAGAGTTCAATCCTTGATACCAAAAAAAAAAAGAAATAAAGAGAAAATAAAATTTTAAACATTGTCACACTTTCATTTTTTAAAAAAAAAGGCATTAATGTATAGTTAGCTTGTTTAGAGGGAAGTATATAGGGGTTTGAACTCAAGATCTTCCTACTGAGCTATATCCCTAGCCCTTTTGTTGTTATTTTGAAACAAGGTCTCACTAAGTCCCTGACTTGCCTAGAATGGGCTCCAAATTGCCATCTTCCTGCCTCCCTCTCCCAGAGTGCTACAGTTACAGGCATGTACCACTATGCATGGCTAATACTAATGTTTTGGCTGCTTATTCATCTCAAGCTGCAGATTTTGTATTCTAAAATAAAAATCAGCTTCTAGGGTTAAAATATGTAACTTCATTTTTTTCTTCTGAAGTCATATATAATCCTTTCATGTTCTGTTTTTTTTTAGGAAATCTGGAAAAAGAATCCAAAGAGAAGGAGGAAAAAATAAGTAAGATAAAACTAGTTGCTGTGAAAGCAAAGAAAGAATTAGATTCTAGCAGAAAAGAGGTAAGCCAAACTGAAAAGCACAAGACTGAGGAATCTTACTTTATAGAAAATCAAGAATTTTCTGTTCTTGAAAAGCATGAACTTTACCATATATTTAAAATAGGCCCAGACTCTAAAGGAAGAACTCGAGTCTGTTCGGGCAGAAAAGGATCAGTTGTCTGCATCCGTGAGAGACCTTATTCAGGGAGCAGAGAGCTATAAGGTAAATGGTGATTTCAATAACAAGTTGCACTGGGACTAGTGAGGTAGGAAACTTTTTAATGGTTATCCCAAAAACTACGTTGTATTTGTTAGTAAACTCAACTCCTTTTTCTTTGCACAGTATAGTAGAATATAACGTCAAGATTTTAAAATGGTTAGTACCTGTAAACTCTTTTTTTTTAAAGATAAAATTCTCTTTGGGGATTTCATAATAAAAAACATTAGTAACAAAATAGCAGCTGTTATTAGTAGCTGTTACAAGTAAGTAAACCTGAAGCTTAAACAAAAGGTCTAACAGGAGAAGAGAAGTATGGTTGTTTGGAAGTGATGTGCTTGACTACTTTAATAATATGAGATGGTTATAAAAATAAGTCCAAGATCAACACATGCAAGATAAATGTCTTCATATTCCTTCATGGATTCACTCACTCATCAGACATTTTCCACCGCTGGATGAGATTCTGTTCGGGTGAGGTGGTGGTCAGTCAGATCGCCAGAACCTGCAATCCTGTGCTGAGACCGTGACAGGCAGACAGAGGGGACAAGACACCCGTCAGCAAAGGAGTGGGAGTGGGACTTAGTCTAAGAAGAACATCCCATAGTAGCCAAAAGAAATTGGGCAACAACTTTAATGAGGAGTTGGGCACTTGAAAGGAAACTTGAAAACTTTTATAGGATGAATTAATATTTGAAACATTAGTTCTCAAATTCACTTGTAAATTATAAAATAATTGCATTAAAAATTGTAGAGTTTTGTTTTCATTTTTGGTGAGATTTTCACAAGTATAAGTCTTAATGGAAAATAAGATAACAGAAAAGCTAAATGTTTTGGGAAAGACCACATACTAAATTTATTATAGTAAATAAGTAATAAGGGAGAATTCGGAGGAGGAAGCAGGCAGATTAATCCAGAAGAGGTAGAGACTTCTTCATAACAGCAACACTTGTGTGCCAGGCATGCTCCTGAGCACTTCACATGGCTTGGAACACTTCATCTTCCACACACCAGTGAAGAAGTGTGTGATCCAGTCTGAGGCTCAGAGATTCAGACATAGAGCCAGTAACAGCAGAGCTGGGTTTTTACCACCTGTTCAGTTCTGTTCTTTTACCACCAAAGCTATGCTACACCAGAAAAATTTGTAAACCATTTAAGAAAACTAGTCAAGTTTTTATTTCACTGTGTACATCAGAGTAAATTCTGGATGGATCAGAGTACTATATTTCGTGAAAAGAAATTTTTTTGCTACTGGGGATCGAACTCGGGATCTTGTGCTTGCAAGGCAGGTGGTGAAACCACTGAGCCAAATCCCTGACGCTTTGTGAAAAATTTTTTAGAAATCATCCTTTAACTGACTTGTGGGTATAAAACACTTCTAAACTTAAAAGTAATTTGAGAAATTACAAAGGAAAAAATTAATAGATTGAACCTGGTCTATGTCTGGAGCTAATTAATAAGTTAGATTATAGGTTCTCTTAAAATGCAAAGCAAGCTTCTTATGTAACTGGATCACATTAAGCTCTTATAGATTTTGTTTGTTTGTTTGTTTTTGTTTTGTTTTGATTTTTTGAGACAGGATTTCACTGTGTAGTTGAGACTGCCCTGGAACTCACTATGTAGCCCAGGCTGGTCCCGAACTCACAGCGATCCTCCTGCCTCAGCCTCCCGAGTATTGGGATTACAGGCGTGCATCACCACGCCCGGCTCTTATATAGATTTTAAATGTGTTTTTTAAAGATGAATTTATATGACCTTTTTTACATTAAAGCCACTGATCTTTTGTCATGTTTTCATATGTAAATTTACCTTTTCATAGTTTAGTGTCATATGCAAATTTATATTTTCATATTTTCCTTTGTAAATACTTTATATCAAACGGAGTTATAAATCTTACATCAGGACAGCTTTACTATACAGTCTGACTTATTGAATGTATAATAACCTGAAGTAAAATCTTTTCTTTATTGAAGAATCTTTTATTAGAATATGATAAGCAGTCAGAGCAGTTGGATATGGAAAAAGAACGTGCTAATAATTTTGAGCGTCACATGGAAGACCTTACAAAACAATTAAGAAATTCAGCTTTTCAGGTAATTTTAAATTGAATAGTATATTTATTCATGAAAATTGTTAATAAATGTATTTTAATATCAATACTTTCTGCATAAAGTACTTAAATTAAAGTGTAGTTAGAAACAGGACTCCTTTTTCCTCTTGTCTCCCTTGTTAGGAGAAGAATTTGACAAAAGGATTTAACAACTATCCTGTCTTGTTTATGCTCTGATCACCTGAATTTTGTTTGTTTTTTTCTCTTCTCCCTTTTGCTCTGCCCCATACCAAAAAAAAGACATGTTTACTTTTGGGCTAGGGATTTAGCTCAGTGGTTCCACCACCTGCCTCACAAGTGTAAGGTCCTGAGTTCGATCCCCAGTGCCCAAAAAAAACAGAAATACTTATTTAAACTTATACTTTTTTTTTTTCTGGTACTGGGGATCAAACTCAGGATCTTGTGCTTGTAAGGCAGATGGCGGAATCATTGAGCTAATCCCTAGCCCTATTAAAACTTATTCTTCATTTAACCTTGTCATTCTGTGGGATTGATTTTGAAATCTTCAGTTTTTACACTATGCCAATATTCTCATTAATGCACTTTTTCTTCCTCCCCTACCTATATTCTCTGCACATTTACAGTAATGAATCATTTGTCATTCCAGTGTGAAAAATTAAGCTCTGATAATGAAGATCTCCTGGCTCGTATTGAGACACTTCAGTCCAATGCCAAACTATTAGAAGTACAGATTTTAGAAGTCCAGAGAGCCAAATCAGTGGTGGACAAAGAACTGGAAGCTGAAAAGCTTCAGAAAGAGCAAAAGTTGAAGGTAAACACAATCCTGTGACACATATACAGTGATACTTTTATCAAAATATTTGAATGAAGAAAAGGCTTCCTAGCTGGGTGTGGTGGTGCATCCTTTAGTCTCAACAGTTGGGAGGCTGAGACAGGAGAATTGCCTTGAGTTCAAGGCCAGCCTAAACTACATAGTGAGACTCTGTTGTAAAAGAAAGAAAAGGATTTCTAAAGAAGTAACATTGGTGAATACAGCAGAGATCATTAATTCCTTAATGTGTGCCAATTCGAAGTTCAAAACTCCAAACTGATTTGGGGGGGGGTATTTTTAAAATATTGAAAGATTACCAAACTTTTTATATTTTTTACATTTTTTTCAGATTTATTTTATGTCCCTAACAAATACCGTTTTTAATGTTGGCTGGGTTATGGGGATGGTTTTTAATTTTAGGAACATGCCAGTACCATAAATGAGCTTGAAGAACTTCAGCTGCAACTCCAAAAGGAAAAGAAGCAGCTTCAGAAAACGATGCAAGAATTAGAGCTGGTTAAAAAGGTAAAGTAAAACACCAAAGAAAAAAAAATGAAAGAGAAAAAGAAACACCAGATCAGAGCTGATTGAGTGTTTGCATCACTAAGCTATTAGGTATACATTAAAGAAGAATATCATTAAAGATTGTTTACACTATTAAAATAATCCTTTATTAATACTTTGCCTTAGTAAATTGAAATTTTAACTTATTTCTCTAAGTGCCTGTCTTCAGAAAAATCTAGGCCCAGGGATTGTTAAATTTTGGTGTAATATTTTCTATACATGATTGATGTATGACAACATGAAGACTTGATTACTATCAAAGCTTAAAATTTACCTTAGAATTTTGGCTAATTTATATCTATTTTTCCAACAATTAGACTAAAAAGAAAAATACTGTAAAAGCCAGTTAAAATATTGCAGTACCACAAATAAAGGAACTGGGAATTTAGCTCAATGGTTCTGCTGCCTGCCTTACAAGCACAAGGACCCGAGTTCAATCCCCACTACCAAAAAAAAAAAAAAGACCCCCCAGAAGATTGAAACTGCCGTTTGTTGTTAATTAAAGTTATAATGCAATACAGTGAAACTTAAAAGTTGAGTTAAACTGTTAGGATACTTTCTAGTTTCTGATTTCTTAAAATATTTTCTATTTCTCATTCTTCCTTACTCTTACACTATTTCTGTTTTATGAAAGGACATAGTAGCACCTATTTATTCCTATGGTATCATTTTAATAATCTTCCAAGTGAAATTAACTGAATCTGTAATTTGTGAATCTTTGAATCTTTTATAAAATGTGTAGGATGCCCAGCAGACTACACTGATGAACATGGAAATAGCGGACTATGAGCGTTTGACAAAAGAACTAAATCAGCAGTTAACTAATAAAAACAGCAAGATAGAAGATTTAGAGCAAGAAATAAAAATTGAAAGACAGAAACAAGAAACCCTACAAGAAGAAATGAGTGAGTACACCAAGTTCACTTCACCATATAATTATTTCATCGCAATAGGTTTGGGGCGTGGGCATTAGCTGACCATCAGCCTTTGACTGCTGGCCAGGTGTCTCTAACCCACTGCCAAACATCACTGAGGACCAGAAGGAGTGTGAGACATTTGCCATTAAGATGTTTGTGGTCTACATTAATGTTTGATGTACTCATTTATTTAAACACTTAAGTACCTATTACATGAATAATACAAAATAAAATTTTCCTTGTCCTACAAGTTGCTGATTTCAACAAATTGGGAAAATTTAGTAGTGAAACATTTCTTTTTAAGATTTTATTTTATCCATAACATTAACATTGAAAGCTGTGAATTTCCCTCTGGACACTACTTTAGGTGCATTTCACAAATTGATATATCATTATTTTATGTTTTATTTTGTTTTTAGTACTAGGGATCAAACTCAGGACCTTGTGCTTATGAGTCCCCAGAACCAGATCTATCATTATTTTAATTCAGATCAAAATATTTTTCATTTGCCTTGATACTTCTTTTTTGATGCATGGGTTATTTGGAATGTTATTTACCTTCTAAATATTTAAAAGGTTAAATTTCATGACAAAGAGCAGTTGTGATCTGCGTATATTTCACCCGTTTCCTCATGCTAGTTAATTAAAGGATTTTTTTCAAATATCTTTCAGTTACTGATTTCTAGTAGTATTCCCTTGTGCTTAGAGTATATACTATGTGTGATTTCAGTCCTTTTAAATTTATTGAGCTTTGGGTATTGCCCAGTGTATGTTTCCATGAATGTTTCTGTGCTTGAAAGTGTGGTATTAGAGCATACTATATTAGTGGTTAGATACAGCATTCTCCCTAATACTCTAGGTGAGAGTCAGTTGGTAGTCTTTTGTGTCTCTGATGCTTTCTGCCTGCTTACTTTACCAAGTACTTGGGGTACTACATCGCAGTCTCTAACCATTAATTGTGGATATCTTTCACTTTTCTGTTAGTGTTTTGTTTCTTGTATTTAGAAAGTCTGGTGTTGGCCATGTGAACACTTAAAAGTGTTATATATTCTTAATGATTTGTTGCCTTCTGTTATGAAAGATCTGCATCCCTAAATTGCCCAGATGGATTGGAACTTGCAGTCCTCCTTCTTCAACATCCCAGAGTGCCAGGATTACTGATATGTAATATCACCCCCAACAGCTCCTTATACTATTTTTATCATACTTGTTGTTTCTATACAATACGTTTCAGCAGTATATAATACACTGTTGTTTTTGTTTGAAAATACCTGTATTTTAAAACAGAGGTCACTGTTTCATAAGTAAAGGTTTTTTTGTTTTGTTTTGTTTTTTGTTTTGTTTTGTTTTGGGTACTGGGGATTGAACTCGGGTCCTTGCACTTGCAAGGCAGGCCACCGAACTGCTGAGCTAAATCCTCGGTGTAAAGGTTTTGTTTAAACATAGCCATGTCCTTTTGTCTGCAAGTGGTAGCTCCATCCTGCAGCCAGGCACAGGTAAGTAACCCAGTAGAGCCTGTGTGGCTGGCAGGCCTGTGATGCTTAGTTTCTGAGCCTTTAAAGGACATTTGCCAGTCCTTGGCTACAGACCCCAAGTACTGAGGTTTCCTTTTCAGTACCTGCCCATGCTTCCCATGCAGATGCTCTCATCCCTCTGATGCATCTGGATCCAGCATGGGCACCTATGGCTTCCTGTCCCCAGGTCTGCACTACGCTGTAGACTCTGGATTTGCATGGGGTATGCTTGTAGCCTTTGTCTGGACTGAACTTTAATCTTTCTGCATCTTTGAAAGATATTTTTGCTGAGTACAGAATTATGTGCTGTGTGCTTCCTTTTTTGTGTATGCTTGTGATTTAGTGAGCTTTTTCCGTGTATAGGATTTTACAGTTTGTTCAAATGTGGCATCTTTTGGGCTGTTACTGATACAACAGTGCATCTGTCTTCCATTTCCATTCATGTGTATGTTCACACTCCCTAAACTTCCTTCGGGATGGTTCTTATTCCCATGTCTTTAAGTATTAGACAATACTATCTAATCTGTAAATACTGCTTGAGATACATCGTCAAGTTCCATTTGATCTTTTTATATTTCCATTTCTCTTTGTTCTGTGCATGTTTTCTTTAAAATCCTTGAGCATATTTAATAGCCGATTTAGTGCCCTTGTTTGCTAATTCTATTCTTTAATTTACTGATGTTTCTATCGGTTGAATTTTTTTCTCCTGGTTATAAATCATATTCTCCTGTTTCCTTCTTTGGATGGAAAGTACTTTTTAGTGAGATGTGAATTTTGTCATTTTTAATGATAAAATTTTGTTTTTTGGGTTGTTTTTCCTTTTCATTTAAAAAGTTTAATTTTAGCCAGGTACAGTGCTGCCAACCTCACAACACACACACACACACACACACACACACACCCTGTCATCCGTCTCAAAAAAAAAAAAAAAACAAAACAAAAACTATTTAAACATTAACATTGCAGTTATTTGTATGTCAGCTCTGTCCTTTTGGGAGTGATCTAGAGGAGTGGCCTCTTTGCAGCAACTCTAGAACAGCCATCCCTACAGGTCTAGGCTGGCCCTGCCCCCAGGTTACCTCATCAGCTTGTGCCAAGGGTTGTGCCCTTGCATGCCTCCTGATTAATGGGCATAGACTGACTCAGTCCTGAAGGATCCCCAGGTGTTCAGAGCAGCTCGCTGTCCTCCATGTTGTTCCCCGGCATCCGTGCAGGTCCACAGCCCCATCTCAGGCTTCCATCCCTACACCACATCTACAAATTGTGTTTATGCTGAAAGCCAGGCCAAGAACAGGGCCCACCTCTGTGCCACACAGACCTGTGCTGCTCAGAAAATGGACTTTTTTTGTACTTTCTTATACTTCTTGTACCTTGTTCAGTTTCTTGTTTATGACAAGATAAGTTAGATTCTCTCACAATCAGAAGCAGAATTTCCATAAAATAATTTGAGGTGGCTACAAAGATAATACCACAAAATAAGATTTTAGGTTTATAAGTGATGAGGAAGTAGTGTAAAAGGAAATATTACACAAGGACTACATAGTAAAGTCAAATAAAGCATCTAGACCTAGGGCCAAACATAGTAGCATATATTTATAGTAACAGGTACACAGTCGTCTGAGGCAGGAGGATAGCAAGTTCAAGGCCAGCTGGTCAATATATAGAGACCCTGTCTCAAAAAGAAAAAAAAGACCAATATGTAAAATATGGGTCCTGTCTGCTTTTGCTACAGGTCTCCTGTAACTTTGGTCTTGAGCATCCAGAAGCAAGAGCGAAGACAGAGACTTCATTAGTTATGAGGTTCATAGCATTAACAGTAACAGAGCAGGCATGATGTTTGTGAGAGATACAGCTTCCTGAGATGGGCAGGAGAACATCTTTCTGTTGTAAAGGGACCCGGGCTCAGTCTGTCACCAGTACCTGGAGACCATTATGGAAATCCCTATGGCAGATGCCTGAATTGGGTTTGCAGTGTTTGTCTAAGGAGCTTCCTCTGTAGTGGAGAAGCTAAAGCTAATATAAGAAGCAGTGGGATTCTCAGCAGTGTCCTCATCACCCTGTACCCTGGGGATGCTGCTTTAGCAGCTAGGGGCCACATCACAGCTCACAAAAGGTGAGTCCCTGAGTGAACAAAGTAGGGAAGCCAGATGTGTGGAGTTCTAATCATTTCCCTGCCCAGGTACTGGGATGGATCATATACTGTGCAGATCACTCACTGTGCCTGTGCTGTGTCTTCCAAGTAAGTTCTTGTTATAAATTAAGCAGCAGAGCTCTAGGTTTTATTCATGCAGTGCACATACTCAGTTTTGTAAATTAGCAAACCCATGTATTTTGGACTAAAAGATAGGCTCATTCTTTTAGAAAAACCAAAAAGAAGTGTTTACTCAAGACAGCATCCCCTTTCTCACTGATATATCACCAGTGATATATCATACAGAAATGAGCAGTACCAGATATGAGTACAGCACTTGGTGGGGACAGGCTCTGTAGACTAGAACAACTGCAGCCAGGGTAAAGAGAGAGAATAGTAAAAGTGAGATCCTTCCTGCAGCCATGGTGTGAACAAAACCTTACTGTTTTAGAAGTCTGCACTAGTTGAAGTAAAATGCTTTGCCAGATGGGGAGAAGTGATTGAGTGCAATTAGAATATTTTGATCCAGTTCTTGAATGACCTGAACACCAGGAGGAAGTGTTTGGTTCATTTTTAAAGATGTGAATTGCTGTCTGGGGATCAGGGTGGTTAGGGGTCTAGGCTGTATGAGTCTGAGGGATCAGGGTAATTAGGCGTCTAGGCTGTTGTGGCCTGGGAGTCAGGGTGCTTAGAGGTGTAGGCTTTAGGAATTGGGATCAGAGAGCTAAAGCAGTTTCTTTTAGAATTAGCATAAAGACTTGTCTTATTGGGCATGTGTCCATGCACTCATGAAAGCTGTTTCCTCTCTGCTGAAATCCCTTCTGGGTCTAGCCTCACTCCAGTCTTCTCTGCAGCAGCATGAGGAAAAACACACCAAGATCAAGCAGCTGCTTGTGAAAACCAAAAAAGAGCTGGCAGACTCAAAGCAAGCAGTATGTTCCTCTTTCTTATCTGAGTACTAATTCAGTTTATTGATGAATGACTGTACTTTTTTGTCTAACCACTATTTTCATTCTGTAGGAAACTGATCATCTCATTCTTCAAGCATCCTTGAAGGGCGAGCTGGAGGCAAGCCAGCAGCAAGGAGAAGTCTACAAAGTAAGACTTTGTGCTTTCTGAGATCGAAAAAGTGTTTTCTATGTAGCATGGAATGACCCTATAAGGGTTATCACTATGGCGAACCTGCAGCACACATGGCGTAGCAGGCTGTTTCTATCATTGAAAGCTCCAAAAGATTCTCCACTACTCTGAGAAGATTTGGAAAGATTCCCTGTCATTTTGAGGAAGTGTTAGCAGTCAATCAAGTATGATGTGTACTTCAAGCTGGGTTATTTGCATGAACTTCATGATCTAGTATACTGTAGAGTAATGCAAAATAAATAAACCTGCCCCAGACCTGATCTGAATCCTCTGAATGATACTGCAATCACAAGAAATACTGCATACAATGGTTTAATATATCTGTTTCATATATATAAATACACGGTCCACCAAAAAATACATACACACATCAGGAAAAGAAAAACTTGTATAAATATTACAATACTAAATTTATTGAGACATGAGATTAATACAAGTTACCTTTGGCTTTTCTATAATTACAAAAGATGTTCAAAGTGGTAGCCATTAGCTTCTGGACATTTATTAGTATGATGAACTGCTTCTTAGGGAATGTTGGTCCTAGAGATTTGCTGCCCATACATTTTCAGTTTCTTCTCTAAGGGTAGTGGGTTTTCAGTGATAAATGACATCCTCTAGGGTCCCCTATATGAGGGTAACCATCTGTTGAAAGGCATCATACTATTTCTTTTCCTGAATGTATATACATTTTTTTGGCAGATTTTGTCTTGAGCTACTTAATTAAATGTAAATGAAATATGTAGTCTGGGATTTTTGTTTTTTGATGTTGGTTTACTTACTGTAGTGTGAAGATGTTCTGCTCTTGTTGTCTCCACTCTTCAATAATAACACCCCAAGTTCTATTCCTTGACTCAGCCCCTCCCCTCGTGCATGCTGTGAGGATCCCAAGATAACCTGTAGGTCTTCCCCCAGATCCAGCTGGCTGAGGTGACTGCAGAGAAACACAAGCTGCACGAGCACCTGAAGGCATCTGCTGAGCAGCACCAGCGTGCTCTCAGCGCCTTCCAGCAGCGTGTGGCTGCGCTACAAGAGGAGAGCCGCACTGCCAAGGTAAGCCACACCTGGCTCCATCCTCAGGTCTCTACTCGGGCGCTTGTGAGTGAACACCTGGCTGAGCACAGCCAACTCTGGCCCCATCACTTCAGGAATTGCAGGACTTAGGATGTGACTTCACCACTCACCACTCCATTGTGGAAACTCGAGTTCAAGGAACTTAACGTAGGGTCTGTGATAAATGAGAACTCTTTGCAAAGTTCCAAAAGCAATTAGTGCCATTCTGAAGTGTATGAGTTGTAAATTAATCTCCCAGGAAAGAGAACATAATAGAAGTATCTCTTGTCAGAGAAAATCATGTCATTATTCAAAGATTTTAAAAATATGTAATTGCATTGTAAGTATACTTTTTGGTGAAGTTACCTGGAGCTAAAACAAATGTCAGCCATCTTCTTCATTTTCAAAAATGGATTTTCACCTCATTTGTTAACCTCTGAAAATAAGATCATGTTACAGTAGAAAATGTTTTTCTCTCTTAATATTATAGGCAGAACAAGCTACTGTAACCTCAGAATTTGAGAGCTACAAAGTCCGAGTTCATAATGTTCTGAAACAGCAGAAAAATAAATCTGTGTCTCAGGCTGAGACTGAGGGAGCGAAGCAAGAAAGGTGAGGTTTAACCCTGGAATCATGCAGGATTCCCCACACAGCACATCCCCACCACGTGCTGGTCCTTTGGGACTTTGTTCCAAACGGCAGGATCCTGTGGGGATTGGTTTTGAGGGAGCAGCTTCCTGGGCCTCACGATGTCTGCAGCTGTCACCTGCCCCACCACCACCACCACCATGGACACTGCTGTGAACCTCAAAGGCTCTCAGGGCACCATGAAGCCAGCAGTCTCTGATCTCAGTCTCCTCTTAATAGAACTTCATTGTGGTAGATATTTAGACATTAAAATTATAATTAGTTTTTCCAGTTTTGGAAATTTAAGAATAAAAGCACTTTCTCAGTGTACTTTTTCATCATTAGGTTAAATAGAAGGTGCTGATGATATTTTACTTCAAGAACTTTAAACTGGGCATGATGTTACCCACCTATAATCCCAGCACTGAGAAGGCTGAGGCAGGAGGATCCCTGGGATTTGGAGGCCAGTTTGGGCTACATAATGGGTTCAAGGCCATCCTTCATTACATAGCATGACACTGTCTCAACAAAGCAAAACAAAGTTTTAAATTAAGTACTGTTTTGATTCAGAATAAAAGTTTTCTTTGATGTATTAGCATTACCTCAATTCTTTCTGATAGCTTTTGGCGGGGTACCGGGGAACAAACTTGGGACCTTGCACTTGTGAGGCAGGCAGCAGCACTGCTGAGCTAAATCCCCAGCCCCAAATAGCATATTTTTTAATCTGCTTCAATGGAGCATTCACACCCTTCAGCAAGTTACTCAGAAGTGTGCGGGAACAAGAGCAAGGCATGTGTATCGTTTTTATAAGCAGAAGTTCAGAGTTCAAACTCTTCTACCAGACTTTTACAGTTCTAAGCAGGAGCAGCCATTCTGTGGTGGTGTTCTTTTGTTCTTTGTTTAGGAGCCCATTTAATGTGGAGACTAAAGACTGGAGCATATTTTCTCTATCAGTAGTTCCTCATAAAGCTAAAGTTGAATATTTGGGGTTTTTGTTTTTGTTTTATTCGTTTCTTTGCGGGGGGTAAGACTTTTTTTTTTTTAAACAGGGTCTCACTGTGTAGTCCAGGCTACCTTGAACTCACAGTGTAGCCCAGGCTGGCCTCGAACTCACAGCAGTCCTCCCGCCTCAGCCTCCCAAGTGCTGGGATCACAGGTATATGCCACTATGCCTGAGTAGCAGGGATTACTCGGGCATGCACCACCACACCCAGTTTTGCATCTTTTTGTTTTGTTTTGTTTTGTTTCTTTTTTTTTCTTCCCTCTCCTGTGCTAGAGAGTTTACCCAGAAGCTGATACGTGCCAGGCAAATCCCCTACCGCTGAGGTTTACTTCCAGTCCATTAAATACATTTGCTAAAAGTGACAGTAATAGTGCTCTGTACGATTGTAACAGAATTACAAAATTTAACTGTTTCACCAAAATTTTATTCTAAAAAGACCTTTCACTCTGCTTTGGTCTAACAGTGTTCTCAGAACAGTTAATTTTGAACTGTGTGGGTTTTAACTAATGACATAGTCCTTTAACATAAAATAGGCTAGTTTAATACAGTTTAATGGCCTATTTCATTAGAATAAAGGTGAGAATGTTTTGTAACTATAGCACCTAAAATTTAAAATCTATAGCTTCTTTTTATTTAACCCTAGTCTCTGAATTCTCATTTTTGTATATCCTGTAGAATCATTCATAATATTAAGAGCACGACATCAAAAGATTGATAAATGTATGTTTGAAACTACAAAGTGAAGTTCACTTTTTTCAAACAGTGACTTAGCTTTTTATTTCTGTTTAGGGAACACCTGGAAATGCTGGTTGACCAGCTGAAGATCAAACTACAAGACAGCCAGAATAACCTGCAGGTCAGCACATCGGAGCTGCACACACTGCAGTCAGAGCATGACACCCTGCTGGAGAGGCACAACCGCATGCTGCAGGAGACCGTGGCCAAGGAGGCAGAGCTGCGGGAAAAGTAAGGTGGATCCCATGGGCCTGCTCTGTGGGGCTCCTGGCCTCTTGCTCCTTGGGGTGAATATGGATGTGAAAATCTGAAGTAGACTTTTTTCCACAGGGTTAACACTTCCTCTCTGGATTGGTTTTTTTAGGTTTTTTGTTTGGTTTTGTTTTTCGGTACCTGGAAATCAAACTGTGGTCCTTGCACTAGTGAGGAAGGTACCAGAACGACTGAGCTAAATCCCTGGCCCCTCTGGACTGGTTTTATATTTAGCATATTTATATTTAAAGCTACTTAATGTTTATCTGCCCCTCCTATTGCCTTCATGTCCACAATGCTTCATTTAAAAATAAAATGCTACTAGTTGGTCATGGCAGTGCACACCTGTAATCCCCAGCACTCTAGGAGGGCAATTTATTGACTTAGCAAGATCCTGTCCCAAAAAGTAGAGAAAGTGCTAGGCATGTAGCTCAGTGTGACTCGGTTCAATCCCCAGTACCATAACCGCTCCCCCCAAAAAAGCTATTTTTTTCCATTCAGGTGTCACCTTACAAACATTTTCCCTCATCTCCAAAGGAAGATATTAAGTAGTTCTTACAGAAAAAGAATGTGCAATTTATCTTTGCAGCTTTGTCTTCAACTTGTCATATCTTATAAATCATTTGAACACTTGAATACTGGCAAACATTATTGTGAAAAAGAAACTTTGAACTCCTATAGTAAGGAAATTGGAGGCAGTTATGATGTATTAAGGTGCTGAGGAAAACAGTTCTTTGAGCATCTTCCATCTTCCATCAGGATGCTCTCTGTCTTAAGTGTTGTCTGTATTCTCTGTCAGAATATTTGTGGGTCCCTATGTAAAAAGGAAGTTTTATTAATTTATCAAAGCCAAATCTATAAAACAGCAAAACTACAAGTAAGCCATTAAAAGTATTGGTTCCCAAATTGCAGGTTCCCTGGCTGGTATAAGACTGACTCGTAAAAATCACGCAAGAATTTACTAATAGCAGGCAATTCCAAGGAGCACCGCCAGATACTTTTTCAGCAGCTTAGCATGGAAACTGTGGAACTGTTTCTAACAAGGCATCTGGCAGGCTGATGTGCAGAGAGATTGGGAAGCTGCTATAGTAAGCCAGGTCTTTATTTCAAGTGTTTCATATCAATCCACTTAAAACAGATACTCTCCTTTAAGACTCACTCTATGAAGTGCTATTTATGTAAGCTGCCACATAAGAGTGACTGAAGAAGTGAGCCAACTAAGGTATGATTTGCTTATGCTCTAAATAGAATTCTTTTTTCTGATGAACCATGAGAGTTCTTCCCTGCATTATGCATCAGTCTTTCGTCCAAGGTTCCTGTCTACCTTGAGACACAGGACAAGGTGGGAACCAGCTGGCAGCTGGCCACCCAGCTTTTAATCCAGCAGTACTCCCTGGATGCAAAGGAGAGAGGGTAGCTCATACCTTGGCAGTACATTAGGACTTGGCAGAAACCTGAGTCAGTTTATAGGTTGGAACCTCCCATGCGACCTGGGTTCCTCTTTCCTCACAGGCTGTGTTCTATTCAGTCTGAGAACTTGGCAATGAAGTCTGAGCATGCACAGACAGTGAGTCAGCTGTCATCCCAGAGTGAGGTCCTCCGCAGCAGCTTCCGAGAGCAGATGCGGCACTTGCAAGAAGAACACCGGAAGACGGTGGAGACCCTCCAGCAGCAACTCTCCAAGGTGGAAGCTCAGCTCTTCCAGCTCAAGAGTGAGCCAACCACACGAAGTATGTATCTACCCATGGAGCAACTTGCTCATCCTTTCACATGTTTGTGTCACTTGAGCATGTTCTTCAGATTCTCAGAAAAGTTGAACACTTTTACTAGGCAGCGACCATTGTCAGTTCTGCAAAAATGCATGTTAGATTTGCTTTCTAAGAAGATAATCTGAACTGTGTGTACCTTTATTATTGCACTTCTGTCAGTCCATTTTACCTCTAGGAATGCTAGTTTTTGTGGATTTATTACCCTGCAGGAAAGGCATTTGCTTTTTGTCTGATTTAAACATAACTTATCAGTGTCATAGCATGAGGTCTAATTCTAGATTCACCTTTGGGTTCTTGGTGCTTTCCATTGCTAGTCATCATATGCAGCTGTTCTGTAGTTGAAAATATCAGGAACCTAAAAAACCCATGCAGTTTCCTCCCTTTTATGTCTCTTACTAGTTGGATTCTCAGTCTAGCCATAACCAGCATCTTCCATTCTGCTTCCAGGGACAGATGAGAAAGTGTCAGCCACAATGACCACATATTTGAGGTCTACATTGATGGATGCTTTGTTTCCCATGGAAAATCTTGTTTATGGAGCACAGGCAGCTAAAGGTCACTTGTCAGGTTCAAAAACTAGCTTCATCCCGGGTATGGTGTCAAACGCCTATAATCCTGGCACTTGGGAATTCTGAGGCAGGAGGATTGCCATGAGTTCAAGGCCAGCCTGGACTACATAGTGAGTTCAAGGCCAATCTGGACTACATCTTGAGACTCTGTCTCAAAACAAGTAACACACACACAAAAAAAAAGGATAGGAGAATTTAACACATGCCAGAGTCAAAAAAGAGATGTCAGCCAGAGCAAAACAGGCTGCACAGGAGGTTGTAATCTAGGAGTTCGCAGCAGAATAAGCAGTTGGCAAAATACCAGAAATCCAAAAAAATGCTTCAGAAGGGCAGCCAGGAAATCTGGGCTTGAAAAGACAGGATAGGCAACTTCATGAGATGGAAAATAAAAATTGAAGTTTAAAAAATCTGTGTTATAACTACTATCCCTAACAGAACAGTGAACAAGTCATTTAATTTCTCTGAACTTCAGATTTCTTGGAGTCAGGTAAGTAATGTACTTGAAATTACTGTAGCTTGTAAATTTCACAGTTCTATACAAATATTCATTACAAGCAAACTGGTAAGTCTTGCCAGGAAGTATATCCCATTTGCTCCTTGCACTGGACCCTAGGCTCTGAGTCTGTAGGCATGAACAGGGCCGAGGGTATGAGTGGGCAGCACTGGGACCACCTAAGAAGGAGGCTAGAACTGGGAGGCAGACCTGGGCCATGCTGTCACAGGTGTCCTGTTAGGAAGGTTACAGTGACCCAAATCACTAGAGTCTAGCTTCAGCATTTTCCACCAATGCTTGGCAACAGGTAGTACTTTCCCTAATTAATAAAAATTCATAAAAATCAGTAGTACTGTATTAATGAGGCTTGTGTTGTCCAATGGTTTATCTTAGCCAGCTAATCACAGTTAATTCACAGCTTCTCCTGAAATAACTAAAGTGGTTAAAAGTTCAGTAACTACATTTTTTGAACATTTTTAGCAATTTTCCCTTTACACACTATTTCTACTTATTGAATTTCCGTATCATTTGACAGCCCCTGGATCATTTTAATCTTTTGAGAGTCTGTTAAATCTGAATCTGTCCATCTTGAACAATCTCACACTTACCTTCTAAAAAATATTTATCAGCCCCAGCTTCTTGCCAGCCTTTGAAGAACCTGCGAGAAAGGAGGACCACCGATCTGCCCCTTCTGGACATGCATGCAGTGACTCGGGAGGAGGGGGAAGGAATGGAGACAGCAGACACTGAGTCTGTGTCTTCCACCAGCACTTATGCACCCTCACTGGAGCAGCTGCTCAACTCTCCTGAGACAAAGCTTGGTGAGTTGCTCTGGCCGCATATTTTTTAATTTAATTTTGCTGTCTTAATTTTACTCTGATTTTGTTTTTTCGTTTGTTTTGTTTTTTGTTTGTTTGTTTTGAGCCACTTCAAACCTTCCTGCAATGGGAAACAAATCTTTTTAAATAAAATGCTAGCTCTGGGACTAGGGATTTAGTTCATTGGTTCCACTGCCTGCCTCAAAAATGCAAGGTCCCATGTTTGATCCCCAATATAAAAAAAAAATTTTTTTTTAAATGCCAGCTCTGTCCTAGGCTAGGACCTCTAATGGATGATTGGAGTCCTCCAGCGATATCAGTGAGTAAATACCTGTTCTCAAACCCTCCCCAGAAATTGACCATCAACTTCCTCCTCTTGATGATGAGGTGCTAACTTTGCTATACTAAATGTAGCCTACTTTGGGTGTGTTCTGTTCACAGCATTCAGAGTATCACTGTTGGTAACTCGAGGGACTCTAGTCTTTGATGTGTGAGTCCACCTGGAGTAAGGGCCATTTGTATCCACACTGGGTTTGCAACTTTCCATCATTATGATGGAACATGCAAGGTGGCAACTTAAGGAAGAGTGTTCTGCTTTGATTCATACTTCCAGAGGTTTCAGTCAGATCTAGGCTGGCTCTGGTTTGGGGCCTGTGGGTAGACAGACACATAGTGGGAAGCTGCTCACATGGCTACTGGGAAGCAAAGAAATACAGGAAGGCTGGGATCCCACTGTCTGAGGGACGTCTCAACAGGCCCAGCTCCCAACAGCATCTCAGGCTGAAGACTGGTTTTTAATATATGGGCCTTCAAGGCACAGTGAAGCTCCAACCACAACAGTGGTCAGTGACCACTTCAAGTGGAAGCCACTAGGCATGGTCCCTTGGGCGGCATATGGAACTTTTATAGATGGAAAGAGAATGCACAGTGAATCAAAGGTCTAGGGGTGGGACATAGCTAAGTGGTGCATGATGGCCTAACTTGCGCCAGGCCCTGACTTCCATTCCCAGCACCACACAGAAGAGAAAATGTCTAAAATGCAAGCCTGACACATTTCAGCTTTGGGCTCACAGGGCTAACATGGAATTAAACTCTTATACATTACAATAGCAGTTCTCTTATTTTTATTACATTCAACCAAATAGCATTTTAATTGAGGTGTAAATAGATGAACAGATAAGAAAGTAGCCATATCAGTATTGCAACAACAGTAAGACATTTAAGTGTTCTTATTTAGAATCTGTCATCTCTGATTTTGAAAATTAATTTTAAGAATGTCTTATAGAGCCTCCTTTGTGGCATGCTGAGTTTACCAAAGAAGAGTTGGTTCAGAAGCTCAGCTCCACCACAAAAAGCGCGGAGCACTTGAATGGGCTACTACGGGAGACAGAGGCAACCAATGCCATCCTCATGGAACAGGTCAAGGTGAGGCGTGCACCGAGGCACAGTGAAGCTGCCCTGAAGGGAATGCTAGGGTGGCCTTCAGACAGATGTATCCTGGGTGAATGCAGACATTCACAATCAGATTCACCTGTAACATTTGTATTCTTTATATTAGATTCTTGCTGATAAGAAATATTCAGTACTTTTGTATCTATTATGTAATGTCCCTGAGTTCCTACTTTCTCTAAGAAACTATAACAGATTTAGAAATTAGAAAAAAGAAATTAGAAAGCTGCTTTCACATTATTGTTCCACATATGCTTAAGTAAAACTCAGATGAGTCCAGGTCCATGGACCATAAATCAAGGGGGGAGCACTTAGAAAAAAAAAAACTGAAGGGCCGGGGATTTAGTTCAGTGGTTGCGCGGCCTGCCTTTCAAGTACAAGGACCCAAGTTCAATCCCCAGTACCAAAAGAAAAAACAGCTGAAGTCTTGTGTGTAGCTCAGTGGTAGAGTGCTTGCCCAGCATGCATGAGGCCCTGGGTTCAATCCCCAGTACTAGGGGAAAAAAAAGTATCATACTAATTGAGCCATTTTTATGACCCAGGTCTTAAACTTTACACACACAGTCATACACATAAATGTCACTGACTCAGAATCACTGAAAAAAACAACATGAAGATGATAAATGGTGGAGCATAATTCAGACTCTTGTCTATCTGGAAAGTGCATGTTTCTCTGTACTGTGCACCTCAAGCAGAACTAACCCAACTCTAATGGGCGACCAGCTGTCCTTACCAGATTAATTTTTTTAAATGCTGAATTATTCACTTGCTTACGGTAAATTTTATTTATATATATGATGACTAAATATCTGCATGGGAATTTCCATAAAACTGTATCATCACCTTCCTCCCCCCCAATGAAAACAATGACTAATTACTGACCAGCATAGTGAACCTAAGTGACCTCTTTAATAAAATGTTATCTTTCCACGGATTTGTACTCACACAATCTTGGACTTTATTGTCACTTTTGTAAATGACTCTGGATTTTAGGAGAAAGACTTTGCTGCTTTCTTGGACTAACCTAAAATGAAATACAGCAAATACAGCAAATACAGGTGGAACAAAGGCCACCTGTCCTGTATCATGCTGTGCCCATTTTCCTGTTAGGGTTTGTGATATCTTAGGCCCAAGGTGTTGTATCCTGTCACACCTGTTGGAAAATGCCTGCACCTCCACCCTCAGGGCTGAGAAGCAGCTTCAAAATCTGCAGCTGTCAGACTTGAGCCTCTAGGGCTCCCATACTGTAGAGAATGAAAGAGGGAGCTCCAGCTGCTTGCTTTGTAGACTTGCATCCACACCCAGCCTCTAGCTCTGAGGCCTAAAGCTCTGGGCTTCTGAGGCAGGGACTTTGTCTGTTCACACAGTTAGGTGCTCTCTTTTCACAACTGGCTGTCACTCCCTCCTCTCCTGCTTCCTCTCTCCTCTACTTGTCCCTCCTTTATTGTCATGCAGGAGGAGATGTTCAGGGATGAGAAAAGTAACAGCTCTGTCATCAGTCTGCCACATTTAGCTGGAAGCTGCTTAAAAAAAAAAAAAAAAACCAAACCATTTTTAACTCATTTCTTTAACACCAGCTTCTCAAAAGTGAAATACGAAGATTGGAAAGAAATCAAGAGCGAGAGAAGTCTGTGGCCAACCTGGAATACTTGAAGAATGTCTTGCTGCAATTCATTTTCCTGAAACCTGGCAGTGAGCGGGAGAGGCTCCTTCCAGTCATCGACACCATGCTGCACCTCAGCCCAGAAGAGAAGGGGAGGCTTGCCACCGTGGCACAGGGTATGCAGAGGGGACACCTGAGGCTGGTCACCACACTAGCCTGTGACCTGTGGATAAGAATCCATAGCTATGCTGCAGTCTTATCCATGATGCTGACTTTTAACTCTGGTTCACATGGATCATTCTGTCCTGTGTGTAGCCTGGGACTAGATTTGAAATAATGATTTTTTAACCCTTCCTGGGCAGCTAGTCATATATATCATTTTGATCAGCACAGTACAACACAATGCTGGGTTGGGTCACCTGGCTCTGAGAATTAGGTTTGTTTCTAAAATTTGAGTTGATTGGTTTACCTTTTTAGCACCTGTGTTTTCTTTCTCACTTCACCCCTCATCCCCACATAGTAAGGGATGACAGAGCCATGGGCCAGCATTTGGAGCTTATCCATGGGCCCACTTCCCAGGTGTATGCAGCTTTTTCTCCCTCAGGACCAGGAATTGAAACCAAGGCCTTCACAATGAACCACACTTCCATCCTTTTTAAAATTTTGAGTCAGGGTCTCAGTAATTCTTTAAGTAACTGGAACTTGGCTCAAAATTGCAGTCCTTTCTCAGCCTCCTGAGTGTAGGAATTACAGGTATATACCACCATGCCCAGCCCAACATCATAAAGTATTCTTAAGAAGGAGCAGTTAAGCCAGGTGTAGTGGCACATGCCTATAATCCCAGCATTTGAGAAGCTGAGGCAAGAGAATCACTATGAGTTCAAGGTTAACCTAGGCTGCATAGCTCAAAGCAAGCCTGGACAGATAGTGAGACCTCAAAACAAAGAAAAGTAGAGCACTTGCCCCTAGCCTTCATTAAGAGCTAGGTTTCATCCCCAGCATTGAAAAAAAAGGAGAAATTTAGAATACTATCATGGTATGGATAGCATATAATCAGTGAGAAAGATAATAATTGCTTATATTGTGGAGTAATTGTAAAATATCGATTACACACTGAAAAAAAGTAATACTTTTTTTCCTTTTCTTTTTGTTTTGACGTCCAAAGGCGAGGAAGAAAACGCTTCCCGCTCCTCCGGATGGGCCTCCTATCTGCATAGTTGGTCTGGCCTTCGATAGATTGATGGGGAGGTGGTTCCTTATTAGCTGAATGGGACCTGTCTGGAAAACCTGTTCATGTATGTTGCTGTCCCCCTGTCAAAGTGTGTTTGTGTCCACGTCCTCCTCTCTTCTATGTATGTGTCACAGATGGGTTGAATATCTCAGCCTGGGGTGAAAGCACCGCAGCTTCAAGTGTTGACCCCAGTTCACTGCCACTGCTGTGGCCCCGCACCTGGGCCCCAGGGCACCACCAGGAATAAGGCTGCTCACCCCCTTTGCCACTTCTGCACCTGACCCACTCCAGATAGTCCTGTGAGTTTGAAAGTTAATAAATTGCTGAGAAAATCTAGCAGTCACAGAATGAAGGAAAGTCATTTACTGGTAAAGAGGACTTACGTTGAGGCCAGCTGAAGTTGCAGTTCATTTTGTCATCCTCTGAAGTACACTGCCACCCTTTCTACATAGTCCACCACCATCCACAGTCCAGCTGGTGTGACTGTACCTGAGGGGTGGCCTAGCCCTTGGAGACACTTCATATATGGTCTCCCAGGCTCACATAGGTGGTGCCATTGCTCACCAGCCAGGAGTCTGTCTCCACCTTTTCTCCACCTCCCAGATAAAAGCTCAAAGCAGTGCTACCTGACTCAGCCTCAGACTTTAGAAAGTCGCCACAGGCTGCTATATGATAGAGAGAGTGGTGTTTCTGGACTTCGATACTGCTGAGTATGTTTTATTGGCAGAATCAAAGCTGTGTACTTAAAGTTGAGAGTTCTGTTTTTACTGTTTATGTGTGAGTCACACACAATGTGCCCTCAGAAGTCCTCAGGCCTTGCAGTTAATGCTATGCTTCCAGACTCTGCTGGAGAACTGACCCTGTACTTGAGCTCCTGGGAAATTGGTTTCTAGCTTAGTGTACTGGAAGTCTGCTGCTGACATGTCAAGTTTGTCCTTGTAAAGGATTCCCTTACTTCCATCCCTCCTCCTGTCTTACAAGAACAGACCTGCCTGGTGAATGTATTAATGAAGATGGATCTATTTCAGAGCTGACTCTAAAAGTCTAGTTTTTTTACTTAATAAACTGTGAATATGAGTAACTATTAATTACATATGCTGTAACTATTAATATTTAAATAAATTTCGCTTTTTCTTTGAGCCTCCTCCTTTCAAAGTCTATAAACTTACTTTGAAATATAGCCTGTACTTATGAATGTAATAACAAAAATACCTTTTGCATGTAAATCTACTTTGATTACAAAGGCATACTCTTTCATGGCAATGAGGAAATGTAATGATTATTTTAGTATTTCTATTAAACATGTCTAACTGTATGTTGTGTTATAGCTGTTCTTCCCATTCCACACTTTTCTCTCTGGGGATTTAAAGTAACTTTGAAGCTGGAATTGCCAATTCCTTTGCTGCTGTCCTCACCCAGTGGGGATCTGTTGAATGCTCTGGTATGGCAGGTTGCACACCCAGTTATTCAGAGACCAGAGCCGAGGATGAGGGTTCCTCTGAGCCCAGGGTTCCTCTGAGCCCAGGAACAGGTGGTCAGCCTCATGATCCCATCTGTTCTCTGACAGTCTCCCCTCCTTCCACTTGGCCTTTCTTTGGGAAGATGGACATCGACCCTGCCAGAGACGGTAGCCAGGCAGGTCTCGCTGTCTCATAATTGAACCAAAGGCTGTTAACACCAAATAAAACAGAATGGTGTCTCCTTGGTTCCTATTAGTGATCTTTCTTTTATTCTGTTTTTGTGGGGGTAGAACCTAGGCTCTGCCTACCCTTGACCTACACCTCTGGCCCAGGTGATCACCTTCCTTCTCTCTACTCACACGCAAGGTAATTTGCCTGTGTGCTGATGCTCTGAACCTCTGGTTTCTGGTATAACATGAGCTTATATGTAGTTATTCCCATTCTCACAATTTAAAAAAAAAAAAAAGCTGAACAAAGTGGAAGCCAACAACTCAGCCCATCTGAAAATCAGAGCCCCTGAAAGCTTGAAAGAACCCAGGCTGGAACACTTAAGTGACCACAGCCCAGAAGCCCAGTGCATGCTGGCTTGAGTGAAAACCTCATCTGCAGGTACATTACACTTCATGGCTTACTGCAGGAGACAGCCAAGTCCTTACCATGAAGTCTGCAGATGGTCCCTTGAGCTGCTAGCCAAATGGGGGATAAAAGTTGCTGTTCTGATAAGGCCTGAGCACCCTGCTCCCCCATCAGTTCTCCAAAATGAAGTTGTTCTGTCCACATCTAATGCAAGTGAGGGGACAGAAACACCCAACCCTCAGCCACCCATTCCCCTGCTCCACTGCAGGGGGCTGAGAGATCTGTGTGCAGGGCACAGGCCAGAGGAAGTCACAGGACTGGAAAAGCTGCTTCCCCCACTTTATGAACACCAGGGAGGCTCTTGATTCAAGAAGCAGCCCCTAGGGAAACTAAAGAAAAGTGAGGCCACAGAAACAGACGAGAGGAAATCCAGGCACTGACATCTCCAGCAACCACAAATAGTGAAGGCAGCCTGCGTGCTGCTAGGTAAACAAAACATCCACAAAGGGCCTGTTTGCCTCATGTCTTTAGGATCCAGCAAAAGAGTACCAGGCACTCTCAAGGCACAGAGAGAGAGAGAGAGAGAGAGATGAAGAGGCAGCAACCTCAGAACCAAATTCAGGTACACAAGACATGCTGAAATTACCCAGCCAGGAAATGAAAATATGATTAATATGCTAAGGGTGCTAAAAGAAAAAGAGGAGAACATGCAAGAACAGATGGCTAACACAGGCAGAAGAAAATTCTAGGAAAGCATCAGAAGTGCTAGAAGTGAAAACCACCAGAACAGAAGCACGACTGAGATGGATTTATCAAAAGAACCAAAGTATATATAATTGGGGGGGGGGTAACCAGGGATCATAGGACCTTGGGCTTGCAAGGCAGGTAGTAGAACCACTGAGCTAAATCCCCAGCCCAAAGCTGATATAATTTAAAATGCAAAATAGAAAATAATAGGAATAGGGCTGGGGATTTAGCTCAGTGGTTCGGTGGCCTGCCTTGCAAGCATAAGGACCTGAGTTCAATCCCTGGTACCAAAAAAAAAAAAAAAAAAAAAA